GCACCGGAGGGGCTCGGGGGAACCACACGTTCAAAATATATTTAAGCTAACACTCCATGCGAATAATCAGGGCTAATTTAAACAAACTATAATTAAACATAAAGGACCTCTTGGTGGGGAAGTTGGGGGAAAACTGTCAGAAGTGACTTTGGATGGGAAGCCCTTACCTTTAAAAGAATAATTTTTGTGCTAATGTGAGCAATCCAGCACTCCCACACTCACCTTTGGGGGCCGGTGGGCAAAGAAACTCTTGGGTTTCTTTTGATACCACTACATGCTAATCTTCTTAACAGACTTTTAATTAATGGGAACAGAGCACTTTGCAGCCGTGAAATCTATTGGTGTAATTGCCTGGTGGATTAGTCCCATTAGCCACACAAATTACCTGTCTCCAGGCCACCGGCCCCACCGGGGAGCTCCCCACGCTGGACACACCGAGCGGCCCCATTCTGAAGCAATTTTGATAAAATAAACTATCTAATCAGGTAAATAATTCCATCAGGGAAATTGCTGCCTTCCCGCAGCCCCGCTCCGCCGGGACCTGGCTACTTTCAGGGGAATGCAACGTGCCTCCAATTACGGGCAAACCTCCAGCGCCGAGGCCGTGTGGGAGAAGCCCACGGCACACGGGACCCCCTCGCGCTGCAGCAGCCGAGGAATTACGGCATTTAAGCTGTCAGCCGGAATCTGGCCCGGCCCCTGATTACCTGGGGGGACGCACGGCGTATTTAGGTTGGTGTCCATTGCAATTTCCTGGCCCCCAGCGTTGATCCCGAATGACTTGAGTCCGTGTCAGGTTCCTGCCTGGGGTCCCTCTGACACGTGGCCCCGGGCTCGGGGATGATGACCTTTGGGCAATTAAGGACATCCAGGCCGGCCTGAGCCCGGAGAAGTGGAAACGTGCAGCTGCCCTGGAGAGACGCCGGGTGAGCGGAGCTGCCTGCGCCCATTCCGCCGCAGCATTCAGCAAAGCTGCACGGCTGTACAGACTGCCGTCGGGATGGGTGCCGGGAGCCTGGGGTCCCTTCCCAGCCCCATCCAGGGGTCTCCATGGCGGGGTCTGTTGTGATTCTGGACCTGAATCTGATGGGGAGTCCCATGGCTTCCCTCCGTTTGGACCTCGAGGTGGGGCTGTGCGGCCCCAGGGACGTCCCCGGGTGGTTGGGTTGCTGGGACACACAGGCAGTGGGCACAGTGGGGTGCAGGGCAGTGTCACACAGCGATGCGTGGCCCTGACACGCTTCCCAGCGCTTGGTGAAGTGGCTGCTCTGCGGGTCCCTTGGCCAGGACGGCTCCAAACCTGCTGCAGCAGCGGGCACAGC